TCTAAACACAAGTAGCCTTCCTGTCCTTTCAGAGGAGCCACCAGCAGAGATGACAAGCTCAAACCATTCTGCTGAGTTACTTACACATCAGTGAAGACCAGAGAGGCCCTCACTGCCACAATTCTCTTCTGTCCTTTCACAAAACCCATGAAGGCTCCTCCTCTTCAGCCCCAAGGAGGCATCAGCTTCTCTGCCAGTATGAAAAGGCCCACACTGCCTCTATGAGCAGCCAATGGTCTCCCAACTCACACATATCTATCTGTTTGACAAATTTTGGTTATTTTGAAAGAAGTGGAGTTTTTACTATGTTGACTTAGAGCCAAAAATGTAGTTCAAATTAAGTCACTGGGTGTAAAACACATGTTCTTTGAAATAAATTTTATTAGGGCCAGGGATTTAGTTCAGCAGCATGAGTGCCCATCTGGCAAGTGTGAGTTCATGAGTTTGATACCTGGTACCAAAAAAAAAAAAAAAGAGAGAGAGAAAGAAAGAGGTGTATAAAAACAGTAGTCCTCTATGTTGTTATATTCCAAAATGTGAAATATAATGCTAAGTCTAATGCAGCATGCATAGTTTAAGTAAAACCTGCACATTTTATGAATATATACCTATTTATACCAGACTTCATTTTATCTGGTATTGTTTGATCATAAGTGTGGGTTAAATTAATCTCCTAAAATGTGTGTCATGGTTATAAGCAACAGGAGTAGCATTAGGACAAAGAGATCATCTTCTCGTTTCCACAAGAAGTAGTGACCACAGGGAAGGAAATTAGCCCATCTGCTTTATGTCATGCTGGACATGCTTTGGAAATAGTTTTCTGTAAAATTTATCTAATATGAAGAAGAGATTGACCAGGTAGAATTTTCCAACAAAATTACATAAATAGTTATATAGTACTTGAAAAATTGGGAGAAAACACATCTTTGATTAAATACACAAGTTTGTGATTAAGTGCTGCCTTGAGAAATGTCCTTGGAATCTTCAAGTTTAGAAAATAGTACAATGCCATGAAATGTATAATTTCAGCACCAGTGATTTATAGCTAGGTGTGGCAAGACTGATATAAGCAGTTCTCTTTGGAGATTTTTAGCCGCTTTTGCTATTTTACTAGAATCTTGGTTTCTCTTAAGTTTCATATCCATATCTGTCTTATTAGAGCACATTTGCTTTATATAAAGCCACTGAAAACATTCCAGTCAATGAATTAATTAAGAAAAGAAAAGCAAACATCTGGGAAATGGGTAGTGTTTGCACTGGTGATGCACCCACATGCTGCAAGTGAACACCTGCTGACTGCCTAGACAAGATCTTTCTTGTATGTGAGCAAATGTCATGGTGATAGAAATGAATATCCTTCTTGTTTAGTTTGCTTTTCTGATAGAAGAGCTGTTTCCCAGGAAGAGCATCTAGATTCCTTTGCTTTTTTACTCCTGTGGGCCCTGATATAATCTCCTTACTATGACCCTGCCTATAAGTAGCACTTAACAAAATCACAGGAAATATGGCAGTCTCCCTTGAACAAGGAAAGAAGCCAGTCCACCATCTTTCTTAAGATGTGTTCCTGGGTCCTTCCTCAGACCCCAAAATGGCATTTTCCTTGAAGCAAAGAAGCCATACGGTGTTCTCCAGGGAAGAAGTAATGACTTAAGTAGGAGTTGAAATAATTCTTTATCGAATACCCAGATCAAATGGTTTTTGACACATACTTTCACAGCTCAAGGCTCAAATCATAAATTCCTCACACCAGGGATTGATCTGCTAACATCCAGGAAGTTCCACCATTTTGCTCCCCCTTCTACCCACAAAGGACTGGTTTTCACTCCAACATGGCAACACTACATTTTTGAAGAGGTCCATTTGAGTTAGTAAATCTTCCTTTGGCTTCAATCTCTCTCCGTTTAACTCTTTAATACTCTCCATTCCACAAAAAACCTTACAAGTTACTGTTTCGTAAGATGTTCTTAATTTCTAGACTATTTGCAGATAACTGTGCACAGTCTCCTGGGATTTCTCTTTGCCGTGTTGACCACCCTTATTTAAATTTAACTCCAAGTCTATGAATGCTGTGACTTTGCCTTTTAGGAGTTGGGACTGGGAGTAGTACTGCATAAGTGGCTTGGATGGAGGAAGGCGGGGTGGGACCTTCCTCACATTTCCTTGGACTGTGCTTATGCATGCTAAAATCGCATTAGCACTTCCTGCCTCTGAGCAATCACATCACATCACATCACTAGCTCACACTGAACTCCGAACATGTAAAATGCCTACCCGTACCTTCTTCCTCACACATAGGTGTTTATCTAGGTCAGTGAAAGCTTCTCTTATGCAGAGATGTTTCTTAGAACATTAGGTTGACTGGCATTAATTTTAGCCTTCATATATTATTATAGGTGTTCGTGTTCAACCACAAGTTGCAAAATACCCACAGGATATCATTTTTTTTGACATAAGATTTGAACTTCGGAGAATTTCTTATGTATCTCTCGCAGTCTTTTTCTTTCTCATCTCCCTCTTCTCCTTTCTTTCTCTTTGGTTCACACTGTTGTAATATTCAGTGCTCGTGTATCAGAACCAGACTGCCATGTGGTCTCTGTGTGCACTTTGGCCTTGGGATGCTTTTGTGTCAAAATGGAGATTTTTGTTAACTAGCACACTGAAACTTCCCTTCTCTTCCTTCCCGTCTCTTCTTTCCCTTCCTTCCCCTTTTCTTCTTTTCCTTCTTTCTCTTCTCCTTTCTTATTTTTCCATTCCTCTCTCCTACTTTTTCTCTCCTTCTCTCTCTCTCTCTCTGTCTGTTCTGTGTCTCTCTCTTTCTCTTTCTGTATCTCTCTGTCTCTCTGTCTCTGTCTCTTCCCACCCCTGTCTGTCCCTCATGTGTGGCCCTAGGTATTGAACCCAGGACCTTCACACTGAGCAACTTCTCACCCTTTTTAAAAATTTTTTATCTTGAAATAGTGTCTCACTGACTTGCCCAGGCAGGACTTAACTTTACAATCCTCCTGCCTCAACCTCCCGTACTGACAATGGAACATTTCTAAACTAGCCCTGACCCCCAATAATACAGCATGCCACTTCAAAAAAAAAGTAGAGGTAAGTCCAAAAATCACACAAGATAAGATAAATCCATTAAAAATACTTCAATGCTTAGAACAAAATATAGAAACATTTTTCCTCTCTCACACTTATTCCTCTGTGTGTAACCAGAAAACACCCATCTCCAAGCCTCTTCTTCTGCTGTTATATTTTTTTCTAGGTCATATATTGTATCACTACTTCTTGATGACTTCTTTGTTTTTAGATAATTTCTATTGAATTTCTCTTGCATGCCCTCACTATGTATCCCCACCTTGCACACCCCCACAGATACAAGGTTGTAAGGTTACAATTATTGGTTGAGGTAACAGTATTTGATTATTTGGTTCACATAAATATATCTTATGCCCCAGCAAAATAGGGTATTTGGCTTCCATTTTTTCTCTTCTTCTGTGTTCATGTGTGTCACTGTTTTAGCTATTTCTGATTACTTTATCACACGCTTCCACAGTTCTGTCTCAGAGTTCACAATACAGTTTCCAATCACAGTCCAAACACATCCTGAAGCACTATCTCAGCTCAGTGCTTTTCACCTTGGAATGTCTCTTGCACCTTCAACTCTTTAGTGTGTATGAGCCTTTCCTCCCCAGCTGGAGACCTGTAGACCCAGGACTCCCATTGTTCTCATCCTAAAAAGTCCTTCCTGCTCCTGACATTCAAACTTTCCTTCTTGATCAACTCCTTGATGCTAGCAGACACATTATAGTAGCTTCCCAACAAAGAGTGCCTGCGAGGTCACTCTTTGAGACTGTAATTCTTTCTGAAAACTCCTTCCCCTGTGATATTTTCAACATGTGGAAGGTGGCGGTGGAAAATCACTCCTCATCTGAAAGCTTAGTCTTTGCTCCATTCTCTAGCGTCTGACAGTGCTTTGGGGAAAGAGAGAACTATTGCTGTCCCTCTGCCTTCTCCTCTGGGAGCTTTTAGGCTCTTTCTGGTTCACTGCCCATACTAAATTTTGTGACAGTATGCTTTGGAGTCAGTGTGCTACCTCACTGCCTTGAGCATGTATTAGGCTAGTCACATTCTTTAGTTCTGAGTTATTCTCCTGTATAACTTCTTTGATAATTTCTTCCCCTCCATTGCTTTCTTTCTTATGCTGAGTTATTTCTCACATTGTCTTATCTGTTCTTTGTTTTTGTACTTTGGTTCTATTTTCTAGAGGGTTTTCAATTTTATTATGCAAACCTTATTAATTTTGAAGTTTTCCAGTGTTCTGTTTTTAATTTCGAAAATTTATTTATTGTTCTTCATTTGTTCCTTTTATAGCATACTTTTCAAATGGAACTTCAGTGCTTTTTCTTATTGCTCTGACAATATTATAGTTGTAAGAACTTTTTCCATTCCTCTAGCATCTCCTTCCAAATTCCTTTTCTCTGTGCATTATTTCAGCTTCAGCCTCTGAGTTGAAAGTGCTTCTCATTTATGCTATTATTCTTTACTGTCCTTCTTCATTTAAAAGTGAAGCATCATAGTATAGAATAAAAGCCTATTAAGATGAGAGCATGCTAGACATTCTTGGCTGCTGAGCTTGCTGTGGTGGGGCTGTCTGGAGAGAATATTGCCATCTCAATTTCCATAACTGTCTGTCTTTCCTGATTCCAGGTCAGCTTCTCCAGAAGCTTCTTGCCTGGGAAGGTTAGGGTGGGAGTCTGTTCACAGATGCAGGAAAGCAGGAGAGATTGGTACAATGAGTGTCGGAAAGACTGACAGTCACTCCTGTTCTGTGTAAAGCCCCACGTCTACCCTCTATAGAGCATGTCTGGGACCAGAGTCTTTATGGCTTAATTTTTCCAATGTATAAACCCCTTGTTTATTCTGGGAATGGAAGACAGGATTCCTGAACCAAATTTAATTTCTATTTTTATAACAATCCATTTCTTTTAAGGATTTTCTTTCAGACCTTGCTTAATATACAAATTTAATAAAATTGGATCAATATTGAGAAGATTATCATCATTCCCCTATACAGGGATGACATACAAAAACATGAAGTATTCTACTTTAAAAAACTACTCAGGTAGACCAAAGATCTAAAAAGAAGAACTAAAACTACAAAAATTTTAGAAGAAACTATAGGAGAAAATCTTTATGATCTTGAATTTGGCAAGGATTTCTTGAATAAGATGTAAAAAGTCTAGGAAACCAAAGAAAAAAATGATAAAGTAGATTTAATCAAAGGTAAATGTACCAAAGAACACATGCACAGATTTAAAAAAAATACTCCATATAATGAGAGAGAATATTTGCAAATCACATATCTGATAAGAGATTGCTTTCCAAACTCTGTAAAGAATCCCTACAACTCTTCCACAGAAAACAAAAATTAAAAAATTAAAAACAAATGATTAAAAATTGGAAAAGGACTTGGAAAAAGCATTTTACCAAAGATTTCTAAATGGAAATGCATAAAAATATTCCACATCACACATAATTGAAGAAGTGAAAGCCAAAACCACATGAAGTCACCATTCCACCCATTAGGATGGTTGTTATCAAAAGCAACAAAGCAACAAACAAAAGCTAAGAAATATTGATTAGGAAGTGGAAAACTTAGAACCTCAGTGCACTACTGATGGGAATGGGAAATGGTACAGCCACTGTAGAAAATAGGATGGCACTTGTCAAACAATTAAACATACAATTACCATGTGATCCAGCAATTCCCCTTCCAGACACATACCCACAAGAAATAAAGGCAGGCACTTAGAAAGACATTTGATCTTCATGCAGCAGGATCATTTACAACAACCAAAAAGCAGAAGAAATTCAAGCATCCATCAATGCATGAACAGATAAACAAATTGCCTTCTATATGTACAATATAATACTATTCTTTCTTTAAGAGGAAGGAAATTCTAACAATGCTACAATAAGGATGAATCCTGAGAACTATATTATGTGAATAATACAACCACAAAAAAATACCTTGTATGATTTGACTTATATGAAGTAACCAGAATATTTACATCAGAAGCAGCAGAAGGTAAAGCAGGGCTTTCAGGAGCAGAGAGGAAAGAGGGATGAGGAATCCATGTGTAAGGTGGACAGAGTTTCAGTTCTACAAAATGAAAGCATAGATGGTGACTATAACTGAACAAAGTGATAGCTCGTAACAAATGCCATAAAACCAAACACTTTAAAAGGGTTTAAATAGCAGATTTTATGTCATTCATATTTTACCATGATTTCTTAAATTAATATTTTAAAAACTCAAGATTAGTAACTAAACCGATTTTGTTTGCAGATACGGCATTTCACCTCGATGTACTGATCCATCTTGAGTATCTGCTCTCCCTATCTTTCTCCCTCAGAGTTCTCTACCTCCTCCCATCTCCTTGTCCTAAGTACAGAGGAAAAGAATAGCCTTCTACATGGCCCTGGAAGCAAACACCCTTAATCCTTCACTGAAGGATTAATCCTTCATCTGTTCTACTGAAACTGTTCCCAAAGGCCACCAATGAGCCAGTCTTAAGATCCAGCATCTTTTGTCTCAGACCACTAGAAACCTGCTCAGACCAATGGGTCCTGCAGCATTTTCTATCCTTTCTTGGTTACTTTTCTCTTATTGCTAAGACAAAATATTTAACACCCAAAATTAAGAAAGGAAAAGTTTATTTAGTCTATAGTTTGGGGAAGTTTCAGTCCATAATCAATTGGCTGAAGGCAGGGTGGCATGGTACTAGGGCAACACTTCAAGGCAGCATCCAGAGCAAAAGGGGAAGAGCAAGCCTCTTTTCCTCCCGTATATTGTACACACCCTCATCCTACCCCTCCCAGGGCCAGGGTAGCACTCACAAAATCTCTGTGCCCTTCTCTTGCACAGGATGAGAATATTTACAAAGTAAGGATCCTGGCTCTCTGCTGAGACTCTTAGTGTTAAACTTCTAAACTTCTCAAGTTGACACAATGTATCAGTCATAGCACATCCTTTCCTACATCATACCACAGTGATATATGTACACCCATGTTTATAGCAACACAATTTGTAATAGCCAGATCTTGGAAACAACCTAAGTGTCCATCAACTGATTAAAAAGCTGTGGTATTTTTATACAGCTGTATACTCAGCTATACAGAATGATCACATTGATACATTTATAAATAAATGGAGGCAACTTGAGACCATAATCATAAGCGAAATAAATCAAACTCACATGTATAAATATCATATAGTCTCCCTAGTGTAAGAAATGGTAAAAGTACATAAGAGTTTATAGTAATGATGATTCCCCATTACATTGCTCTGAAGCCTTATAATGTCTGCATTCATTAGTTGGAATGATTTTATCTTAGTTTGTTTAATTTTATTGTCTGTGATAGTATAAACAGCTATTTTAAAGAAAACAAGACATTAGAATAGCCAGTGCTGATTTAGTATCATCTTATTCTGATGTCCTACTATGCTTTTGTTTTTCTGTTTCCTTTGGTTCTATCCTGTTACATCTTATTGGATATTATTATGTGTGATAGTACAAACAAATTTTCTATGGAAAATGAGATAATACAGTAGCCATTGTTTGTTCTCTGCTGTTTGGTTCTGAAAGCTCTGTAATGCTTTCATTCTCTTGAATGGCTTTATACTGTTTTGTTATGTTTGATACTATAGTATATGAAGCTATGCTCAACTATTTCAAAGAAAGAGACATTATGGTAGTTACTGTTAATTATGGGTTGTCTTGTAGTAAAATACTGTGTTACTTGCATTGTTCTGATCTTATCTGCTTTGTTATGTCCTCTTTTGTCTTAATCTCTTTAAAATAGAAAAATTTAAAAAAAACAATTAAAAACTCAAAAAAACACACCCCACATCCTTTCCTTATGACCCTCATTCTCTCTGATTTGCCCTTCAGTGTACATGAGCATGGGTGGAGACAAAAGATGATAAAAAAACAACTGTATTGTAAGTTTCACAAATCAAATCAATTGTATCAATAAGAAATGTGTGAATTTTTTAGTTTTGAAGCTTATAACCCAGGGATTATTGTCAAAGAATCAGAATGGACATTCACTCTTTCAAATGATTTGGAAGACTGTGGGCTGAACTAGATTGGGTTTCTGTGGTCTGCCTGGGGTACAGGTTGAAGCCTGGACACCCAAGCATCCTCTGTTCTGTGTGAAGGAGCCCAGTTCAAGGTTTCAGCACCGTGGAGGTCTTTCTACAGAATACTCAGTCTTCCCTGGTGCTCCATGTTTATCCTGAGTGTGTGATACTGACAGCCATAGCCCAAGGAGGCTTCCTGAGGCAAACAAGACTGTGATTCACAATTACCTTGAACTCCCAATCATGGTGTAGAGACGAAAGGGAGAGCTGGGGCGAGAAACCAGAGCAGAAACTTATGTGATGCCTCTGGGAGGAGATTCTGCTGGGATTGTTAGGGCCAAACCCATACTTGATCACAGTATATGGTCATAGAAGAGTGCGTGAGCACCTGCTTTCTGCTGGGCTTTACATTCTGCCTTCCTTTCTGGTCCTTAGTTCCCTGACCTGTCACACTGAAAGAGGCTAAACATGTGCATGAGTGTATATGTTTGTGTGTGTGTGTACAAGTGTACATGTGCAGTGTGTGCTATATATGTGTGTATACATATGTGTGCCCATTCATCACCACTCCCTGCTCCTCTTCTTCATTACCTTGGAATTTGTCACTTCTTCACCAGTTTTCCTCCCTTTGGAGGAGTCTGGTCTTTTCTCTGATCCCAATACCAGCATTTCTGGAATCTGTTCTCTGGTCATTTTGGGGAAAAGTACCTAAAATCAACATTGGCCCAAAGTTAGGTGTTACTCATTTGATGGCCACACAGCTTCTGCTAGGGGGTTTCTGAGTGACAGGGAGTGAGTTACAGGCAATGTTGGAGTTTGGCCTGCCTCCTACAAAGCACCCAGTGTTGAGCCGTACAATTGACCAACCTTCATCCTTCATTTATTCCTCTCCATTATCTACATGGCTGGATTCTGGTCGCTACTTATCCTCTCATTATAAACAGAAAGTTTGATGTTGATCTTTTAAATTGAAGTATAACAGGACTGGTCTGAAACTTGAAAGGATTGTGAAGATCAGATTCACAGGGTTGGAGGCTTTGCAGTTGGGAATGGCAGACATATGCCACTCCTTCCCCTCTCACCAAGGATGGATATGACTAATCCATGCTGCCCCATTCTGCAGATTGAGGTCTCACAAAACAGAAAATATTAATTGTGTATTTGTTGCTTGATTTTAAATTTAAGGCCTGCAAAGGGCCGTGCCCTGTGCTACTCAGGAGATGTTGGGACCAGATCAGTGTGTCAGGTATCCCACTCAGCCTGTGTTTCATGCTGTGTTTCATTTCTCTACAACCCTAGGTACTGGGCATCTGCTCCATAATGTGTCACAGTCAGCATATATCCCAGTGCACTATTAGGTGTAGTGGATGGGCACTTATACCTCAGTAGAACAGTCTTCAAATACATTGTGATATCAAGGGATACCTTTCAATCTATACCATAACATTACATATCAAAACCTTTCCTCAGGTGAATAGTATTCAATACTTTCCATACTTGGGACTTAAAAGTTGTTCATAATCAGTTGCTATTTGACTTTTCACTTCACATTTTTACATCAGCTCTGTCTTGTTACATACAAAATACAATAATGAGGGTACAGAGACACACAAACAATTAACAGTCACAGTCTCAGCAAAGTAGAAGTCCTCACCTATCTCCCAGGGAAAGGACTGGGCTCACCACTTAAAAAGCATTGATATTTGAGGTATATCCTCCAGTGAACTCCATCTCTAAGTCTCTTCATTCTGTCCCTCACATCAGCACACAGGGCTGGTGCCTCTGACCTCATGCATTGAAGTAACCCTTCAAAGCAAGCAGACTTCCACAACAAGCCCATGACCTCTCTATCCACTGTCTGCATTAGACACAGGGTCACATGTGAGGTATACAATTTTCATGTTCCGGATACTAAACATTTTTGCAGTGTATCATGGGTGAGGGTATATCTAGTAATTGTCCTCT